AGGTCTGTGGCCCCCCAGGACCAGGACTGCCCACCCCAGGACCAGGACTGCCCACCCCAGGACCAGGACTGCCCACCCCAGGACCAGACAGTTTCTGTATAAAAACAGTCCATGTCACAGAAGCTCCTGAGGCTTTGAGTCTCCTGATCGTGTTTCCATTGTCCTGCATGTTTTACACAATGATTCAAATGATTGAAGTCAGTGGTGACCCATTCATTTAAACCAGCTGTGCTGAAACTGGAAAACGTCTAAAACACCTTTCCTGATGAAGCTTGGAAAATATATCTTCAGTCGACCAATGTGAAGTTCAGAGTTGAGTTTGTTTGTGGAAGAAGAATTGAATTTAAGATCTAAACTCAAATACAGGTATAATTTTTTACCATTTCAGTGTCCCTGTTCTGCAGCACCATGCTGTGTTTAGTTTACCTAACTGTTAAAGCTTTCAGGTTTGTGAAGCGTCCCTCCACAGGCGTGTCTATATGTGGTTCAGAGAAATGTTTCCATTTCAGTTTCAAACGTGCTTTCAGAACCACCTCGGCAGTGGTTCCAAGCGAGTAGAACCGGGTATTACGTGCTCATGATTTTGGCGTCAGCAGACTGTGGATTGGCTGAGTCGAGGCAGAACTTACAAACCCTACCAGGAAAGAGGTGCACAGGTTGAGCTGGGAGATTTCAAACAAACTGGCCGCCCACGGTTAAACATGCTTTGAAACAATGACGCTGAATAAATAAATAAATAAATAAAGACCGACCGACCGACCAGATTTTACTGCATCTAGAAACTGACAGTTGACAAAGTCTCTTTCATGTAAAATGAATGCAGATATAATGCTGTGATTTCAGTGAAGCTGGATGTATCCTCAGAACAAACATTTAGAAAAGACAAAGTGTCTGAAGGATTTTCCAGAAGTTCTTCATTCCTCTGCTCGTCTCTGCCATGCCTGCCAGCTGCAACATGACTCAGCCCATGGCTCCAACACGCTCCTACAGACAACCTTATGGTTCTGGCTTGCAGATGCAGCTTGGTTTAAGTAATCCAGACAAATTGAACTGAACTGGACGTTTTCATGTCTTGTAGACATCATCCAAGGAGCTTTGCACATGTCCCAAAGGATCAGAGGAAGAACAACCCTACCAGCCCTCAGGAGGGATGGGCCTGACAGTGAGTTTAACAACTCACAGGATGAAGAACCAAATAAAAGTTGATGAGCTTGAAGCTCCACACGTTTCTAACTTAAACCAACAAAGCTTCTTGGATGAGGAGTGAAACGTCCTTCAGTTCAGTTTAAGATGACATTCTGGATTACAGTTTCCACCAGCATAACTTGTCAAACTCTTTTCTTTATGACTGTCTTGGTGTGGACCTTTTTTAATTAGTATGATCACAAGGTTAAATCGAGTGGAAGAGGCCTGCATTTTATTAATAACAGGTCTCCTCAAAGATGGGAATACTTGTACAGCCTAATACTACACACAAACACAGAGCAGTTAACCCAATCCTGCCTTACATAGTTTGAGTGTAATCAAATGCATTTGTGCACAGCACCATGCTGTCCTTTATTAGTCTTTATTAAAAGCTGTGTAAACATGTTTGTTGAAAGCTAATCCTGTGTGACTGGTGATCGGTGTGGATTTGTTTTCTTCCTCAGGGATTCAGTGGAGTTGGACAACCCAGGAGAGGAGGCCAAAGCCAAGCGCCTGCTCGACAACCTGGTGGCTGAGCTGCAGAGGAAAGCTCAACTTCAGGGAGGAGAGGATGGTTTTCTGCTCAAGATCAAGTTAGGTCATTATGCCACCCAGCTGAAGGTACTGGTTATCTACTACCAGCTCCAAACAAGTGGAGGAACATGTTGAACTGGCTGCCACATGATGGACTAAACATTAATAAGATTAGCAGTTTAGCTTTACCTTCAGCCATACTTTCATCAGTTTGTCTTTGATCGTTAACAGAACTAAGTAATTTGTGTAGTGGTTTAGGTGTTAGTGAAGCTAACTGGTTAGCAGTAGCACTGGTTTTCATTTAATAAATAACAATGTGTTGTTTTGTACCATTTAAAATCTGGTCGAGACTAAATCATTTTATTACACAAACCAGAAATGAAAGGAGCACTTACAGTTTGACCAGTCAGGGTTAAAATAAAACCAAACACGGGTTCTGTTATCAAAGATGTAACCAGTGGTGGGCACCAGGCCGCTAAAGTGCAAATCCACTAATTGTGGACCTAAATATTTCATTTGTGCTTTAGCGGTCTTACTAATTTATATAATTCGTAAGCAGATTTGCGCTTTCTAAAATTAAAATACAGTACCACTAATAACTAATTATCTACCATTCATATGGCGGTCAATGAATCACAACACATGTGATCTATCCAACAGCACCCCTCCCAGATAAACACTCTTATTGTGAAGGTATACATCCTGCTGACTGTTGCTTTGGGTCACGCTTCTGATTTCCCACAATGCTTTGTGTCTGCTTACACAGCAGGAAGGCAACAGCAAAAACAGTTAACGTTTGTAATCCATGCTAAAATTTTGTATGTATTGATTTATTTTACTTTACAATCGGAGCTCCTTTAAAAAAAGTTTAAACGCTGGAGCTCAATACTTGACGTAATTGGTCGAAGCAATCGGCCAATGGGGTTAGAGACTCTGAAATGATTTAAAGATGTTATGCTGGTGAAGACTGGTATCTAGTGGTCAACTGGAGCACCTACATGGAAACGTTTAAAATCCAAGCTCTTATTTTGAAGTTCGCAGATAGTTTCCTGTGCTCCATACTTTCATTTCCTGTCACAAATCAAATCCGTCATGCACCCAGAATGCATCGCTTCAGTTTTCCAATAAACAGTTTTAAATTACTTTATTGATGCTTCTTTAATGAAAAATCTACAACAAACAAAAGAAAAAGACAAAGAAGCAGCTGAACTAGCAATCCTCAACAACTTTTTAATTTTTACACCAGGTGCTAAAGGTCTGTTTCAGGAAATCACATCCCCAGCAATCAGTGGTTGTAGGTTGTACAAGGGTTCACACACCACGTGTTGGCAGTGTTGTGCATATATTGTACAGTTGTTGTCAGCTAGTAAGTGTCAAATTGAACTTGTGCTTTAGAATTAGCTTCTGCTAATTTTCAATGGCATGAGTGTTTTTGAAGTTGCGGACCTAAATATTTTAATAAGCGCTTTAGAAATTGCAGAACTAATTGTTGGATTAGCGCTGCCCACCACTGGATGTAAATGTGTCAAGACATAATAAATATACATGATAAACCAGAGGTATACAGTAGCTCTGTCTAACTTATGGTATGTACAATTTAACCCTTTCAAAATAATAGCATTTCTTTGATTGAGTTTTTATTTTTACAATTAGAATTACAAGTTGGTCAAACAACAAATAAATATTTTCTCTTTTTTTAAAATGACAAAACAAATATTATTTTGTGTGAATGTGGTCAGAAAATGAAGTCCAACCTAAATGTTGCAGAGCACATATGATCGGTGTCCTTTTGAACTGGTGCGCTGCATCAAACACATCCTGAAGTCAGAGCAGAGGCTGGTTAAAGAAGCTACAAACGTAAGTTTTAAAGACATCAATTTGATGCTTAAACTACACATATTGTCAACCATGAGGGATGTAAATTAGCAACAATCTGATGTTTGAAGCTGTTCAGATCAGACATGTTGAATGCTCTGTGTGCAGACGAGCTGTGGGAGTGACGGCCAGGCCATGGACACCTTGTCCCACCACCACCAGCAGATCAACCAAGCCTTTGAGGAGCTGCGTCTGGCCACACAGGAAACTGAAAATGAGCTGAGGAAGTTACAGCACAGTCAAGAATATTTCATCATTCAGTACCAGGAAAACCTGCGCATCCAGGGTGAGACTGTGTGTTCATTACAGCGGTCGTACCTGTGTCAAAAATACAAACTGTGAGGAGTTAGCAATTTATTTCAAGCTGGACTTTCCTGCTCTAAAATATAGTGATTTTATTGGCCAGGAACATTTCTGTGTAGGTCAGCTTTTATTAGTATGAATCATTTATGTGAATATTTTAGAATGTTGCTTTTATGACTTCATCTTAAGAAGGTTGTTTTGTATCCCAGTAACACTTATTTATTAGTTTGTATCATGTGTCTGGATGTTAAAAAGCACAAGACATTCATTTAGTTGTTTTAAAATAATGTTTGAGAGGTGAGTGTGGTTCTGCAACAGACCTAAAATAACTCAATCCTGCCATCTACTGATGTAAAAGCCTGCGTGATGTCAACCTCAAACATGAACTTAAAGGATGTTTTAGACTCTAGTCAGAAAACTACCCCAGTAAAACTGTGTGGCTCGTGCTGCTTCTTTCAACATATATCAGTGTTTTTATTCTGTTCAAGTTCAAAATGAATATCAAGACTGAAAACTGTTAAATATGTAGTTTTATACTTCATTCAGGTGGTGCTGGTACTTCATGCACATGGTGTGCCTCAGACCTGCACCCTCCGTGTGTTTTCAGATTAAATTATTTCCAGCCATCGTTTTTCTATAAACATCTAGTTTTTGGAAACAAAACTCATTCTTACGATATTTTTATCTGTTCATAAAAAACCCAAACATTTTGTCCAGATGAGGAGCAGACATTTAAACCAAGATGCTGAAACACCAGTCCTCTGGTGGTGTGAACCTTAACATGAACAATAGATACAAATACACTCACCGGCCTCTTTATTAGGTACACCTGTCCAACTGCTCATTTACACAAATGTTGAATCAGCCAATCACATGGCAGCAACTCAGTGCATTTAGGACTGTAGACATGGTCAAGACTAGCCTGGCCCTGGCCTTCCTACACAGCTCCGCTCAATTCTAATTTCCTTTCACTGCTCCGCCTGGGACTTCTCCATAAACAAGGATTTCTTCAGAAGAATTTCATTTGGGCCAATCAGAGAACACAATGTCGATGTTCTGCTCAGTGTCTGCTAGTTATTTTAGCATACAGCAGTGGAGGAAGTGAATGAAGCCAGTCTGTGTTGATAAGGCTTCAAATTAAAATAAATTATTCTGACAAAGCAGCAGCTCTCATTTACAGTCGTCTCGTTCAGCTCGGTACTTCTCTCGTATCAGTAGGGTTGTTTACAGCGCACGTGATTTCCGGTTAGCTTCTAAGCTTAGCCTCCTTCACAGTGGGGCTGGCGTACACGTACGTTGCGGCCAACCGAACCAATCATTTTAAACTTCAACAGAGGCCACGCCTCCAGCAAGAATCACTTCTCTATAGCCAAGAGTCCAGACCCTCGTACGAAGCAAAGTGAAGTTTAACTAGTGTTTTAACCAGGGTAGGCTAAGACAATCTCCTGCAGTTCAAACCGAGCATCAGTATGGGGAAGAAAGGTGATTTGAGTGCCTTTGAACGTGGCATGGTTGTTGGTGCCAGAAGGGCTGG